TAATGATTTCTGTAATTTGGATTTATCACACGACACGACAGCTTATACATTTTATTAAGTTTATAATCACATAAGTATTATCTTTGTAGCCAATTCTAAATTACAAATTTGGTGGGGATTGGTACCATTAAACGTCGCCAGTAAACGTAATTCAAAATGTGCCAGCGTAATTAGTGTGCTACGATGAAAACGCATAGATTGTACCGATTAAATATCTATGCTTGAATTTATGCTCGATTTTCATGCATAGCTATCGGAAAATGTAATTACGCTTATGACATTTAATGCGGAGTTATGTAATTACACATTGAGCTTTGTACGTGCCATAAATCATATAGAGAGTCCGCTCAAACTCACACAATCATTACTTACGTCCAACGGTTATTTGATCATCTAGAACATATTTATCTCGACTTCGTGGTCCGGCAACGATGCTTTTCATCGATTCCTGAAAAAGAGAGAGATAAAAGCTTGTCAGAAGGATCAACAATATCACATTGAATTTCACGTATAATAAACTTAACGTAACTGTGTATTGTCCTCTAAAATGATTAAATATTCACGCATCGAAATGATATGAAACATATACATATGCATACACGTGGCAAAACCACAAATTGGATGCATAACCGCGAACGAGTAATCATTATACCTTCACCGTTTCAAAGTCCAAACATCCGATGATCATTATTCAGTTAATATACCAGAGAAATTTGAATCGTGCTTGCGAGCCTGTTATCCAGATAATTTCACGCGTATACGGAGAACAGCGGCAGAATAAAACTCTCGACTTTTGACTTTGGCGAATCGAGGCGGAACGTATTCAAGGCAGGAACGAGCTGGGTGTTATTCACGAATCCGTCGAATATATATCGACAATCTCGTTCTCGCAAACTTTACAAGAATACTCACAGGATTCTTACGCGGCGTCGCGACGGCGTGTACTCTGCTGAAATTAAAATCGATACTTGCAGAAAGAGGGAGAGAATGAAGAGGAGAGAAAAATGGAGATAACGTCTGGATTTTACTCCTACCGTTCCTCGCGTTTATAAAGCCGTGCAAAATCGCCGAAGAAGGGAGCGTTTGGATAAATAATCATTCTGCAGAGTGCGAATCTTCCGCATGGGGGTGGGAAAGAGCCGCCCGATAAGGTGGGCGAATAACGAAGTGGAAGAAGCGAGTCGTAAAGCAGCGGGAATAAATAGTCGAGCGTCAAGTCGGCGACCGAAGTTTGCGAACGCGCAAATCCTGAGGGAAGTCTTGAACAAGAATTCCGCATGATCGTCCTCTTCCTCTTCTTCCGATTCCGTACATTCTTCATGTAATTATTTTATCGTTACAAAACAGAATCCGCTATACCTTCGGAAATTTACAGCTGCGTCAGTATATCTTTTTCTATCGATCACAAAGATAAATAAATAAAGAGAAATAATCTACATCGTATTTCTATATTAATTAATCATGGAAAATACCTTAAAAGAATAAAGAAGTGCTAATAATACGATATAATGGTTACAGTAAAAAATTAATTAAAAAATCTAGAGACGCAGAAAATGCATATATATATATATATATATATATGTATGTGTGCAATTTCATATTATATGATAAACATTATTTCCAAAAGGGAATAATCACATACGCATAAATGTTCGGAGAAGTTTGGTCGTTGACGTTCTCTTTCTTAAGTCTCTCAAAACGAGGAAAGTTGAACGAAATTCTGAATGAAGGGAGAAAGATGCGAAGTCGAGAATAAGTGGTAGAACGTCCAGTCAGAATTTACGAGCAATACTTTCCTATCGGAAATTCTCAGCATATTCATGAATATCACCATGCGTCTCGGAAATTACAAACCATGTTATATCTAGTCAATATTGTTCTCCTTCCACTTTTGTTGGCACAATATTCATATTTTAAAAACATAAATCGCACTTAATAATTCGCTCTAATAGCTTCTAATTGTCATTTAATTGTCATTTAGCATACAACATTTATACAAAACATGTAATAAAATGATTCTCATTCTTGTACACATTTCATATATCAAATATCAATGAATAATGATAACCAATTTCTTCAATTAAACAATATTATTTTTATGTGTGATAAAATATATAAATCAATCCTTTTATATTTCCTTTTGTATTTCAAAATAAACATATTATTATATTAATGTATGCATTTAATAAATAATGAACTAAATTTGAGTTCAATTTAATACATTTTCTTGGATGAAATTGTTTAAATTGTTTAATTTCATTATTTTACTTAAGTAATTAACGACATAACCATTGTTGAGTAAGAATAGTGATTAAAAATAACTCAAATTATAGTTAAACATTATGAATATAACAATATATAGACAATTAAATATGAAGTGTTTATGCATAGAATTCGTGCTTTCTCAATAGTTTTTAAGAAGAAGATTTCGTTGTAGATTCTAGCAAATTTTTATAAGACTGTCTTCCATTGATTCCGTAATTTTTATGTTTACGCACCGATGAAGAGCATTTTCCTGGAACGAACTACTTCGTTCCGGTGCTGACGTATTTCTTTTATGGGAGAATCCCTTGTACGATGTCCCCTGCAGACGCAATATTCATACAAATAACATTCAGTTTCTCGGCCGTCATGGAATTTATGAGAAAGACGAACCGGGAGATCGGCGAATTGAGAGACCGGCAATAAGAATAAATAGCGGAATATATTCGACGCGACGATTCTAGTTTATAACTAATAGGAAATCCTGGAAGGAAATCTTAAACGCCGACGTTCATACAGGTCTATTTTTACTCTTTCGGAAATAATTTCTTGCGTTTCTTGTAGATAATTCTAAAAAAACGTCCGCTTGTTTTAGAAAAAAATTCTTGTGCAATAATTTTCTCTCTCACATACGAACACACAAAAATTTTAACAGAATAGCCTCATTAAAATCATCTCACTGCTTTCATATTTTATTTTTAAAATTTAAGCTAACATTTTTAAGGGACTCTTATATAACTGTATATATAACTATATATAAAAGCTATTCACTAAATAAAAAGGTACTGTTTTCCTTCCAAGGATTCCAGTCCTCCATTCCATGGAGGACAGTTTGAGAAATTCCGCAGTAGAATGACACGATGTGACCAACGCTGACCGAATTCCGGCCGCAGGCACTCAATGCGAGTCCGAGTAGCAAGAACTTTCGTCCTGAGTACCATAATTTCGTACTTATCGCCGCAAGCAAGAACTACGCGCTCGAATCAACAATAATTAAAGAACAATGTTCGTTGGTGAGCACCGGTTGCGCAAAAGGAAAAAAAAATATGTTTGCATTAGATTCAACGAACGGGAAAAATAACATGGGAAAAATAATGAAAACGCAGCACGTTGACGTTCGTGTTTGCGTTCGATTCTTTACGAGCTCATGTAAGCTATGGAATAATATCGCGTGTGAAAAAAATCGAAAATCGATTTATTCGTATCCGATATCGGATAGGAATAAATGTCAACCTGTTCAAATATTCCCAAAATCTGATTTACAAAAGCTAGTTTGCTGGATAACATAATATGCTTTTCTTTAATTTATCATATACATGAAAGAAATAATTTTGTTAAAATGTCTAAGATTTAAAAATAATTTTGTTTAGACCTCAAAATAATTATGTGAAACGTTTAAACGTTGATAACAATTCTGCAAAAAGTTTTCACATTCTGAACTCAGTTCTCTAACTCTAATTCATTAAGCATAAAAAAGAAGAAAGATTAATTAAGAAATAAAAGGAATAATAAAAGGATGTCAAATTAAGCTAGTTTATTAAAGTTCATATTTGTGCATTTAAATTTTAATAAACTAATTTAATTTAGCATCCTTTTATTGCTCTCAATTAATCTTTCTTCTTTTTTATTTTTACATTTTAATAATCAATTTAAATATTCCACATGATTATTTTGATAGTCTAAATAAAATTATTTATTTGCATTCAACTAAATTTTTAGATACTTTTAATAAATTTTTCCATGGATGAGACGCGATAAATTGGAAAAAAAATATATTATTAATTAATATATTATTAATAAATATATTATTATCGTTACTGTATTCTTTCATATTTTTAGAGATTTTATTTCTATCAAATATTATGAAGTAATAAAATGGCAATAACTTGCGCTATGCTAATGCGATTAAAAAAATAAAGCCTTGTCATAAAGTCCTGACAAATATCCATCTGGTCACAAAGCAATCTTTATGACACATTAAATTTGAAATTAATGATCCTTACTAAAGATGCGACATATCATAATGTCTTGAAAAACTTGTATTTCGTGAATGTATTGTAAATGAAATAAATTCAACTCGAACGACGCACCATTGCGTTATTAAACCGTATTACGTTGCTTCTTTCAGTCAAGCTGTATTCTTAATTAGCAAGCATCCACATTCGAAAACAGAGACGGGAGAAAACTTCGTTAATGAAACGCCTACGGCAACGTCAAGCACGAAGACGCTGAAAACAGGCAGAGGTTATCCGATACGTCGTTGTAAACCAGGGGTATCCGCGGAGTTTAACAGTCTGACAAAATGGATGGCATATTGAATTCGTCACACACAGGAGTGTATGTTTCACACGCGCAAAAAACAGCAGGTTCACGTCAAGAGCACTATGGGAAAACGATCGTATAACACAAAAAACAAGTACTCTGCCCTCCCGAGGGAGCAAGAGATCAAACATTTCGATTAACAAAGTGCTTGAAATATCAGATGCACAAGCAGTTATCCACGCTTGATGGATTCAGCTAGAAATTCAACCAGCATTTGGGGAGATTTGCACGTCCCAATAAAAATGTACTGCATTCATTTTAATTGTAAGCTCCTCTTTATCTTTCACGTACGATTGAATTTAAATAATGCGCGAGAATGTGTAATATTTAATTACAGAGAGAGAGAGACAGAGAGAGAGAGAGAGAGAGAGAGAGAGAGAGAGAGAGAGAGAAATATGAGCGAGAATAGAAGTGTACTTCAACCCTTTGAGTATCAACCCCCGCCATCATTTTCTGTGCAAAAAATGTCAGAACGTTTTACTAGAAAATGCGAACATTTTAAATCCTATATATTATATATTAAATTACGCTTATAAATATATGTATTAAATAGATTTAGAAATACGCTTAAAATACAAATGTATATAAATTTATATACTAGAATACCATTTATCAATAAAATTATATAAAGGAAAGAGCGCTTTTTGTCAATGAACCTAGAATTTTTCAATGATAATGACATCACATTATACCGAAATTTCATGTAAATAGAACAAAACAAATATTATATATGTATATATGTATATTTAATTCCTTCCGTTGAAATATTTGATCAAAGAGTCATAATAAAGTACCTCTTAGTTTAGAATTAGCAAAATTAAATAAGAA